CTATGAGACTTTAACACATTTTAATAAACAACAAATACAAACTAATACTAAAAAATCACGGCCAAATACCTGCAGAGGTTTTAACAGTTATTCGAACTGTCTGTGGTAGCAGCTTCTTCTTTGAACCCTGAGTGAAAACTGCTTGAAGATTCATACAGCAGTGACAACACGCAGTCTATTTCAAGCCCGCTCTCACTGTGTGAGTGTGTGTGCTATGTGTGTGTGTGTGTAAGTGTATGTGTCACGCCGTCCTTGGACATGGGCTTGCGGAATGTGTTGAGAGCAAGGCAAAACACTGGGTTGCCATAGCAACTAGCCAGGGCCAGAAAAACAGATGGGGGGGGTGTTATCAGAAGACGAGGTGAGAGCAAGCAAAGGCAAAAAATTAAATAAAATAAAATAAAATAAAATAAAATGGTAGGGCAGGTGGAGTTGAATATTTGTGACTACGATACGCTGGCACTGTGAGAGAGAGAGACCCGAGAAGAAAAAACAAGCCATTTTATATTCAACATCAGCGTAATCCACAGCTGATTGCAAAAGACCTACAATTTTTTAAATGTGTGGATGTGTGTCCCATTTTGGAGATATGCCCCTCATCCTTTATAGATGAGTAGAAGATCTCAAAGTCCCCTGGTTACTTTGAGGGGAAGTCGGAGTGTAGTTTAAACACAGCTCTATTGTCCTCTGACCTTTACTGAGGAGCTGTTGTACAGTCTGATGGCCATGGTAGGACGAAAAGAGTTTTTGGAGTCTGTGTTGCGTGGAGCTGGAACTGGTGTTGTTGATGTGAAGACAGACAGTCTGCCATCTGATACACACTCCTTGCCTGGAGGTGAAAGGGTGTTAGAAGCATAAGAGGGTAAGAGTATGGGGGTTGTGACAAGGGTCTTCTACTCTCGCCACTGTCAACCAGGAGAGTTCCAAGCTCTGTGCCCACTCAATGAGCTCAGCTAACATCGCTACAACAGTCTGTCCATGTGACTTCAGTGGTCATCTACTGTATATGCTGCTTCCTCCCCAATGCATTACCACAGATATACAAGAGGAACGTCTACCTCCACAAGATCTGGTAAACCAATATTGCAGCAAGGTTTTTACAAGATGTTAAGATTATCACCAACAGCCTTCTCAGGAAGTACAGGAGCCTGTGCCTTTCCTATGTTATGGGTAGAGTGTGAATGTTAGGCTTGTCTAAGTCCAGCTCATGGTTATCAGCCGCAGCGCCATGAATTACTATATAATGTACCTGACCACTGTCTACATATCGGACCCCTCAAATGTAATCACGAGTTGGATGATGTGGTTTCTTCCACCTATCCAACCAATCTCTTTGGTCGTTAAAGTTGGGTAAATTTACTTTTGTATTGCCTGTTAAATGTCTCTAGCGTTAAACTAGGACTCTAACGTCCTGCAGCCGGTCAACAGGTGTTGTCCTTGATAGCAAGTTTTTCTTGAACATAAGAGTGAAAAGATTTTCGTGTCTCTAGTTTCTCTCTCTTTCTCTTTTACTGTACACAAATTAACACACATCAGCAGCATCAACAGACAACTAGATATAAACAACACTGTTGTCATATGCCTGTAACCTCTATATATTCAGAAGGGCACAGATTACTATTTTAATTCAAAATGAAGATTATGATATCTCAGAGTATGCAGGGACTGAAAATAAACTAAAACACTATTGATTTTAGTTAGATATGAATGTTATATCGTCTGATTGTGTGTGGTGTAGTGTTGTGTGGTGGGTGTGTTGTGGGGTGTGTGTGTGTGTGTGTGTGTTGGTAGTGTGTGTGGTGGTGTTTAAACGGTCATATACTTGTTGGTATTGCATTTCTATCAGAAGGTGACAAGAGGGACGGGCTTTGAGGCCATGGAATGAATTATTGGTATGCCATTAGAATTCGAATTAGGCATTGAATAATATGTCAGTGTATGTGTTGCTGGAGTGTGTAACTCAGTGATGTGTAGATGGGTTATGTGCCTTGAGGAAAGCTCCTCTATGCTATTACTCCCTGCCCGTAAACATGGCATAATAATATATATATTCGTAATGATGTATATATATGAAAGATAGTATACGATATAATTGTTTTGTTTGTGTATTATTGGTGTAGAATGTGGTCTGGTTAGGACCGTGACCTCAACAGAGAATATATATAATT